AAAAAAAAAAAAAATTTAAAAAATACTGGAACGGATCTTCTGATCACGCACGAGGAAAGTTAAAACGTAACACTGGAAAGTTCGGGAGAAGTGAAATAAAAGTGTTCTGCATAATAACAGAAAAGATGTTCTGCACCAAAGGCAGTGTTGCATTTCTGCCCAGTTTACAGTGATGACGACGACGAAGGGGAGGAGGAGGTGGAGGCTGGGTTTTACTACAAGAGATGGGTGGCAGGGATACCTGGGGGGGGAGGGGAACCTTGTGGTCCTCCTTGTGAGCATGGAACAGAGACTTCAGATACAGATTTTTGTTTCCAATTGGAAGCTTTCATTCCTGCATTCTCATTCCTCTGGTGTTTGCTGGACTTCGGGATTTCAAGGTGGGACTTGGCTGGGTACATAGTTGGTGGCAGTGATTGAAGCCATATTCCCCAGACAGGCACTTTTCAACAAAATTTTAAGGTTGTTAATATTTGTTACCCACTGATCAATTGTAAAAACATGGTGAAGAGAGTCACTGGTGAGGAAGATGGGGATAGCTCAAGAAGGAGGGTGTCCGTTCTGTGAGCGCCCCATCCTGCCAACCACTCTGCTATCAGGCTGTGCCGCTGGACTGGGGTTGACAATTCAGGGAACTGTAAAGGTGAGCGTGGAAGGAGCAGCATGGGGAGAGCCCTTGAAAAACTGCAAGACCTCACCCTACCAGGGAGAACATGGCTGTGGGGACCAGCAATGCCACCCAGAGCTGACCTGCAGAACGTGGAGGTGGTCCTCGGGCATGCTCAAAAATCTTGGGAGGAAAGGGAACCCAAAAAAGAACAGACTCCCACCAACTGGGCCACTGGGGGCTTGAATTCTTATGCTATGGGGTACCACTGCGAAATGCACTCTCTGTACCCCAAAGCTGCTGAAATGGGATGTGGCCTGTTATTATTTTTTAAGTAAACATTTTATCTAACTAAAAAATACATGTGGAAAGGTGCACAAATCATGTGTGCAGCTTGATGAATTTTCACCAAAGAAACACACTCGAGCTCTTTCTGCCCATGGGTCCTGTCCCTATGTTTTAATAAAACCATCTTTTTGCACCGATGGGGGGGGAAAAAAAAGGTCACACACTCAACTAATCAGCACTGCAATCAAGAAACAGGTCATCAACCTCCCTCCCCTTGGACCCCTATCCCTTCACTATTCCTCCAACAAAGGAATTTTATATTCAAACTGGACCTTAAAGGCTGACTTGAAGTGCCTGCCCACCTTTTTATCGTTTTTAACTGTTAGGCTTTTATTCAAGTTATATACAAACACCAGTTTAACAGTCCAACACAGTGCAAGGTTTTGCTCTAAAAGAACATTCCACAGGGCCCTAATCCCATATCTCACTCCCCAAAAGGGAGCCATTTCAATGTGTTCAGCTAATTTCTTGGTTATCAAAAAGCAGCAAGGTATTTTTGGTTTAGGCATTATTTACTTACTTATCTCTCTGGAGGCCAGGGATTTAGCTTCCTTCCCTTCCACAGCCCCGACACCACAGGCGTGCCCCCCTCCCTGCTCCCCATCCTCACAGACAGCACCATCTTCCCATCTCTGGGAAAGCCACCTTCAGTGTTTGCATTACTTTTACTTTGTAAACACTCCTCGGGCCAGAGGCATGCAGCTGACTCCGCTTACTTTTCCTTTCCAGCACATTTTTGGGGGTTTGTTTTTCCTAGAGTTAATAATTGTCATTTTTATGCTTGCTCACTTTCTACAAACTTCTCACAGATTCCACCTCATGCTCTGCCAGTTATCTGAGCCTCCCCTCCCAGGGTCCAGGCAGCCGGTCGGCTCCCTGCCCGGTTCCACTTTTGGGTGCTGCCTGGCCCGGGCACGTGAGCTGGTCGCTCTCTCTGCCCTGCAGGCACCCTGAGATGCCCTCCTTACCTTGCTCCTCTTTCCTAAATACCACGTCTTCCTCTCCTACCAGCTATTTCAGTAGAACACCAGCAGCTGCCCAAGAAAAGGAGACCACAAAGGAAAGAAACTTTTGAAATCGTGCCTGTCTCAAAATATCGTTGCTCTACTCTACAGTTGATTAAAGGTAGTTTTGCTGGATATAGAATTCTAGGTCGGAAGTGATTTTCCTTAAAAATTTGAAGGCATGACTCCATTGTCTTCCAGGTTTCCAGTGTTACTGTTGAGCTATTCTGAGTCCCAGGAATTTTTGTGTGACCTGGTTTTTCTCTCTGAAAGCTTTCAGGATCTCGGACGGCTCCATGTTTGAAGTTGCACCATGGGTATGTCTTGGTGTGAGCTGACTTTCATGCATTGTGCTCGCTGAGAGCCCTTTCAACCTAAAAACTCTCCTCCATCCGTTCTGGGAAATTTTTCTGAAATTATTTTACACGATGCTCCTTCTCCTCTGTTTCCTCTGCTTTCTCTGGAACTTTTATTACTCTGATAGATTTCCTGTCCTGGTGCTCTATTTTGTTTTATTTTTCTCTCTTTCATTTTCTATCTTGTTCTATTTTTGCTCTACTTTTTAGAAGATTTCTTCAGTCTTACCTTCCAGTCTTCCTATGGATTTTAAATTTCTGCTATTGTATTTTAATTTCTAAAGCTCTTTTGTGTTCTCTCAATGTTCCTTTCTATAAAATGTAGCATCCTGTTCTTGTTTCATGGGTGTGTAGCTTCCCTTGAGGTTTTCTTCTTCATGCAGACTCCTTGGTCCCTCCACACACCACGCCCCCCACCCCCAATCACCACGTGTTTGTTTTCATCTCTACTTTTCATGCCAAAGTCTTTCCTCAGATATCTGGAATCTCAGCTGTCTGCTCACATTTAAGAGTGGGGCCCCAAAAGCAGACTGGAGTGGAGTTTGTTGACTGTGGGTTACGTGGTACATGATTTGGCTGGATTGTTTCACCCAGAAACTTTTAACGGCTTCCCATCTCTTTTATCTGGTCAGATTCCCCAGCCTCTGCTACTGTCCAGCCTGGGCGGAAAGAGCCTGGCACCATTCTGGAGAACCAAGTGGTACATGTGAGCTGAGGTCTCAAATCCTGTGTGTCCATGTTCACTTCTCACTATGTTTTCAGTGTGATTCATCCCAGCTTTGTACTTGCCTTGTATCCCGTAGTCCAGAGATTCTTTATTCTTTTGGAAAAAAACCCCCGAAAAACTCTTCAGTCTTTCGCCAAGTTGGGGATGGGACGAACCAATTTGGGGAGGAGATCTGGTAGTCCTACAAAAGAGCTTTCATCCAATCCTCTTTATTTGAGGCCCTTCTCACTTCACTTGCTCTTCCAGAGACAGCCGTGGCTTCCAATTCCCACACCTTTTGCCAGTGACCTGTGTAGACCAGGGTGCTGGTTTTCCTCGTGATTGACCCATATTCTTTCCTCAGGTCTATCAGATAGGTTGTCACCTGCCCATCTAATTTCCAGCTTCCACATCTTAAAGTTGCTCTTTTTTTTCTCCCGGTTTCCCTGTCTTTGTGCATGTATTCCTTAAAAAAAAAAATTCTCTTATTTGATATTTACTTTGTTTCAGGAGTGAGTGAGATCAGGTGGGTGGTTCAATTGGCATTTTTAACTGCTAGGTTCCCGATGATTTTTTTTTTTAAGATTTTATTTATTTATTTGAGAGAGAGAGAATGAGAGAGAGAGAGAGCATGAGAGGGGAGAGGTCAGAGGGAGAAGCAGACTCCCCGCTAAGCAGGGAGCTCGATGTGGGACTCGATCCTGGGACTCCAGGATCATGACCTGAGCCGAAGGCAGTCGCTTAACCAACTGAGCCACCCAGGCATCCTCCCAATGATTTCTTTTTCACATGGGAGACCAAGGCCTGGAGAGAGGAAGGAACATGATGAGGTCCCAAAGAACCCAGCTCTCCTGAGTTCTCATCTTTCAGAGGACAGGAGGACCCAAATGTAACACAAGAACCTTAGAATTTGACTGGCTGATTTGTATTAAGAGAAGTGTTTTTGCGGTCAGATACTCCTGGGTATAAAGGCTAGCGCTGCCACTTTTTACCAGTGTGACCTTGGAGAAGCTCCTTTCCCTTTCTGGGCCTCAGTTTTCTGATCTGTAAAATGGGAATGACAGTATCTTGTAGGACTGTTTGGAGGGGGAAGGTTACTTTAAATAACATATGTGGAGTGCCCATCATATTGCCCTGCAGGAATATAACAGGTGCACATTAAATGTTAGTTCTCTTCTCCTTCTCCATGGAGCTAGAGACTGCACCATAGGTGACAACAAAGTCTCCATCCCCAGGGCAGGGCCCCACCTGTGGCCAGGCCCCACTGCAGCCAAGGCCAGGTGGCAAAACTCTCACAAGCCTGGGCAGGCCATCTGAATTAGAAGCAAGGCATGTGATCTCACCAGTCTATCAACATGTTGCAGAGCTTGACTTGGAAGGCAGACCTGGCTTGTAAAACCCAAAGAAAGTCATGAGACTTGAACTAGGATGCTTAGGCTGGGGACACCCCAACTCCTGGCTGGTTTGGATCTCAAATCTAATTACCGGAGATGACCCTAGTCACTTCAGATGGAAGTTCTTTTTTTTTTTTTTTTCTAAAGATTTTATTTATTTATTTGAGAGAGAGAGAATGAGAGAGAG